TACTATGGACCTTGGACAGTAGCACAGCATAGCATTAGACAACAAAGGAATGTAAGAATATGATATATTACAGAGGAAAGAGAAAAGACTGGGTGTTAACCATAGTTAAGTTTTTGTTCGTTTATTTAAATATTCTTCATACCACACAAAGTTATAATGAAGTACCAAAGTGGTACCACAGTGCAAGCATCTTGATAAAATAATGATTCATTTCAATAGGCCATCGAACAGAATGGCAAAAAAACAATCTGTGCATTAGTATTTGATCTGCCTCAAATAGAAGATATTGCTATAAATAATTCTAAACATAAGCACAATTTAGTGAATAAGGTAGAAGACTGGTAGACTTAAATTTTCAGATTCAATTTATAGCTGTTCACCAGTCACCTGCTGTTTTGACAAGTTACTTACCAACTTGTGCTGCCATTTCTCCGTAAATTTATCCCCTAAGATGAGGATAATTCTTGCAAATTGTGTCACAAGCATTTTGAAAGGAACCATGAGTTATTGTGTAATGCTCTTGAAATTCCTCAGATGTAGGGTCCTACACAAAGTAAAGTATTATTATACATCTCTCTAACAGTAGTCATCTGTTTGCATTATGAATTTTTTTTCCCTACCCTCGACACTGAGAATCTTGGGCACTAACCTTTCTCAAAGTGTCCAAAGCAAGCCTCCACTCCTGACCCAAGTAACTATTTTTTCAAGTCTTCATATCATCCACATCTTTCTCTTCCTTAGAAGGTATTATGAAAATTAGGAGTTATAAAACATAATGAACTTCTTTGATATTCTTTATGCTTTGGCTCAATAAGAAATACAAGGGATAATTTGGTAATTTTAATCCACTCTTATGTGAATAATTTTATTTCCCATATTTATATATTCATTTTCCTGTACTCTAAAATTTCAACTATATTGAGTTCATTTATAGATTTGTGTTTTATGAACAGAGAGAGCAGGTCAGAAAATGAAGAAGCAAGAAAGGCAAGCAAATAATTACTGCCATATGACCAAAATATTTTTACTGGAATGACCAACAGTAGAAATTACCATTTTGGGATACAGAAAACAGAATCAACGCTCATAATCTTCTTATTTTCTGTAGAAGAGCTGAGCATAAGCTATAATAAATTCTATCATACCTCTCAAAACTTTACTACTGGCTTTGCTAATCAAATTAGTCTTCAGTTCTAGAATAAAATACATATTTTTGATTTTTCAGTTCATGTTGATACTCTCAACTGCCTTATATGGTTTCTAAAATGGCTTCTTTTTGAATTTATGCACAGGGAAGGGGCTGGAGAGGGATAATAAAATATGATGTCACCATTGTACAACCTTAATTATAAAACAGTAATTTTTAAGAGATTATTTTTTAAATCCTTAGAATTACATTAAAATAATGATGGAAACTAGTTTCCTCCTAGGTGAATAAACATTCCTCTGTCTTTTAAATATGGCAGGGGAAAAACTTTGTGGGATAAAGATAAAACCACAGGATTTAGAGTGATCTCTTGATATTTGCTAGTCTGGTGATTGTTAGTCTCTTAATCTCTTTTAACTTCAGTTTCCTCATCTGAAAAGGGGGATTATAACACCTGCCCTAGCTGACAAGTAAGAATGTTGTGAGGATTAAATGAGATATTTAATCTATTTGAAAGAACTTTGTATACCATAAAAAGCTATTAAAACAGTAATGTTTAACAGGAGTGTAGGACGTTATTTGCAAATTATAAACAAAACAGTTTAATAATGTTTCTAACATGAAACAAATGGAAACAGATGTGTAAAACACGTTTAGGACCATGGTCACCAAATTACACCTATGACTGGATACACAGTGAGTAAATGATTTTACTAAGACAATTCACTTCCTAAATGTTATCTTAAAATCTTCAGAAGTAAATTTGGAAGGAAGTGTAAGAATAAAACTAACAATTCATTTAGACAGTCTGGCCTAGCATTTTGAAGATTAAATATACTATTTACCTGTTAGCTATGAATTAAAGAAAAAACTGAGAGCCTTTAAATTTAAAAAAAAGTTCAAAAAAATCTTATGAAGGAGAAATACATATATGAAAGCGAAATAGATGTTCACTTCTTTGGAAAACAGAAAAAGCTAGTGATAGCCAGGGGTATACATATACAAGAGAACAAAGATGAACATGAACATTATCTGCACTCTTGGTATAACAAAGGAAATCAGTGAAACGTTCTCATGTGGTTACTAAAATGTCCAGAATGGAAACTTCTCTCAATAGGTCACAGTTTCTAACTATTTAATACATTGTACGGCTGAGTCTTCTGATAGGTGATCAGGACTCTGAAGAATAGCTTATCCTTAATGAATGAGGCCATCTCTCTCTCTTCTACTCCTTATAACAAAATATTTAGCATGTTTATAAAGCCAATCTCTGTAAGAAAACAACTCTTGGCCCTCTCCTTTCTGCTTGCTTTCTTTATGACAAAAGTTTAAAGCTCCAATGAAGTGAAATATGTTTATGATGTGGTCCTAAAATTCAATCAGACTCAGTTACCAGAAGATTTAAAAACCAATTAAAGAAGAATGAATCCTTATCTTTTAATTCATTCCTCAAACAAATTTAAAAAATGAGGGAAGGAGTACCTTTAAATCATTAAGGAATTACTCCAAACAAATAATTTTAGTTAAAACATTATTAAAATTTTCCATTCAATCACCTTAAATCAAACCTGAGGTTAAAAAGGTGAAGTCCCTATCAAAGCAACTACTTGCTTTTGAACTTTCACTTTCTCCTACCTCTGTAACCTAGGTACACTTCAATACATTACTAAACCCGACTTTAAGAAATGAAAAGTTTTTCCTCAGGATGAAGATCCCTTCTGATAAAACGATTTCAGCTCCAGATGTATTTTCTGGCTATTTATGTGATCAGTGATTGGATTAAACTTAAGACTTCACTTTCTTCCAGAAACATTTAATTCTATCCCACAATGACATTTCCCATCATATAAAATTCCTAGTCTCAAAATGCATACCATGTCATTTCAAATTTCAATTCTCTCCGGTTATTTCATTTATGTATCCCTTAATGCCCAACCCAGGCTTCCAATTTTTCAAACACAAAGTTTATATCTGTCATTTTTCTATTCCGTAAACTGTAACGTACTCTGGACAATAAGGCAATCCTAAAGTAGTATCAAAAGTTAGGTAAACCCACTCTCCCAACTTTAAATTGCCAAATAATGCTTCCAGGATGAATCAACAGAGTGATATAAATGTCACAATGCAATAATCACAATGTCAACATGACCACAAAGAAGCCTTTCCTGGCTAGTTAAGTTTCTCAGAATCTCGCCTATAGAGTTAAAAGCGGTTCCAGGCACTATAATCATATTATTAGTGCACAGCATCTCCCACCCTTGTCCTAGACACAGAACAGGTTTTTAGTAACATTTAAAAAATTTAAATCTTGGTAAATTTTAGTAACTATACTGGCGATTTCTATGTGCTAGCTTTGTACTTTCTATTTGCCCTGTAGCCTCTCAGATATTACTAAAGCAATATAGAGATATGTTCAGTTATTTCTGTGGGGCATATTAAGTATAGGAATAGTTACAGCCCCAATACTATGAAAATCTCAACCTGAGGCAGCATTCCAAGCTAAGCAAAAAAGGTAAAGGATCCATCTGCCTCTGAAGCAATGATAATAAATACAACAGTAACTTACCATTCATGTCTAACATGATAACTTCTATGCCTAAGATTATGAAAATCTGCCAAGATTCCATAAATATTCTTTATGAGGTAGAATACAAGAAAGCCACGATTCACCTTGAGTTTGGTAATAATTAAACCTACTGTATTAAGTAAGTATCACTACCATTCATCCAAAAAAGTTAAAATACAAATTAAGACAGAAGAAAAGAGATTAAAAGCCTAACAACAAAGAAAAGATGAAACCTGTACAGTATTTACAAGCTAGAAAAGTGAAGTCTGACATGGTGGTGAGATGGTATGAAAAATGAGTAACATGCCTTAATTTAATACCTTAATATTTTATACCTACGTTAACCTTTCAGAAGTAGACTAACAATAGAAACCACTTAAATAATGATGTGGTAAAGAAAAATAACTGCCACAGAAAATACTTAAGTATCATCACTGTTAAAAGAAACTGTAAATAAGTACAGCTACAGTCTTATCTAAATTTACCATCTTAAGAATTAACTTTTAATTGTAATTAAAAGCAAAATTTACATAACAGTTTTTCTAAGTGTGGTAAAATCAGATTTTAAAATATGTATATCCAGGAAAACAGAATATAAAATGTGACCAAATTCCTCAAAATTCTCATTATCCTACAAATGATTTTAAATTTGGCTTGTATGCCTACCACACAATCAGGACACCTCAGACACAAAAGTTTAAATAGCCAGTGTTACTACTTGAAAGTAAGAGACCAGGGGAATAAAAGATACTTCAAACTAAATAAAATCATGTATTTAAAATACAATAGGGAGAACATATGAAAAATTAAGATATATTTTAAGCAACTAAGTGTAAGTCAAAAGCTTTCACCTTAATTTTTTTCCCTTTCTGCTGTATGAAGAACAACACAGTAAATTATGCATTTAAAATGTGCCCAGGGTGGCTGAACAGCACTTATAAAAGAGGACCTACATACTGTATATTCTATACCTACATACTCAGTACCAAAGAAGATCTACACACTGCAGACTGGTTTTCTCTATTATTTTATATCACCATAATTATGTTCTGAAACCACAGCTTCAAACAATAAGGGAATAGCAGTAGTTAAAAAAAGAAACCACAAAATAATGAAAGTACTTAGAAGCATGCAAATGTAAAAGGTGTATTTAACTCCTAGTTTGCTTTTAAAAATTAATAAAAAAAAATATATATATATGAGTTTAAGACTAGAAAAACTGTTTGCTATTTCAAATTTAAATGATATAATTACTAGAAATAGAAAACAAAAACATGTTCAACTTACCTGGTTTCTTTCTGGATTTTTCATGACCTAGCTGTCCTAGATCATTACATCCACATGTGTACACTGTTCCATCATCCAGAACAAATACAGTATGTCTGAGTCCACATCCTACATCTCGGACCTTTTTATTTATAAAAAAGTCACTTTTTCTGGGCTCTAATACAATTTCTTCATCAATTCCACCCAAACCTAGCTGTCCAAAAGATGCATTTCCCCAGCACAACATGTTTGTAATTCTTTTGGTCTTCCAGTTTCAACACAAAACTCCCTTCTGAAACACTGGAAAGTTGGAGGTATCCCTATGTCTGAGAAGATAGAAAAAAAGTTAATATGACTTCAAAGGAAACATGAAGTATAATTGTTCTTTCAGGAGCTAGGCTACAATAATCACTATGTAATAAACATAAAATCTAGTTTATAATAGGCTACCTAAGTTATCATTCAATTTCAAAAAACAATCACTTGTGTATTTTAAAATATATTATATAGAAATGTTTAGAGAAAATACATCTCTTCACTATCCTCTGAAAAATTTAAAATATTAACTAGTTTTGACTGTTATGATAGACTAACTGAAATATTAAGTACCTTCATGAAATTTTTCTTTTTGCTTTTAATAATTTCAATGGGAGCAAGAATAAGGTATCTATCCCTTGCCCCCCAAATCAGATATATACTCAGGGAAAAATTTAGCCAACAACATAAAACCTTGCAATCTCCCTCCAGTCACAGAATAATTAGACCTTCTAATACCTACCCCAACATCAACAGAAAATTGAAGTTCTTAACTGTACTACAAATAAAACCAATAATAAAAACTTTAAATATCCCACAACTTAAATGACTCTTCCAATTATTCATATTAATAGATTCCAGACAAAATTCTCATTCTCTAGTCAAGCTTTGATCTTAAGAATATCGCCTCCGAAGATTATATTTTACAAATCAAAATAGTAACATTCCAACCTTACTAATTTTAAAATGATTTAATTTTAAATATTTTAAATAATACTTAAAATAATTTAATTTTAAAATGTACATAACTATAATACAATAGTATGCAGTTTAAAAATCAAGATTCTCCCCCAAATTCAACATTTTCTATTTTGAGTGGTAACCGCGACTGAAAAGTATTTCCCCAGGGCAATCTGTATCTATCTATACCTCTGAGACAATTATTTGAAGATGGAAAAAATCTGCAAATAACTCCGGCACTGCCGATTTTTCAAGAATAGAAATGGGGGCTGGGACACTGATAGTTTGGTGGCGAAATCTGTAGAACTTTCCAGTACACTGACTAAGTATTTCTTCTAAAGACAAGGATAACAAAGAGTCCACTTCATCTAAACCTACACAGATTTTTAGAGATATTGCATTATTAAATAACTCAATTATAGGAAGTCAGTCTTATTCCCGGTGTAGTCACCCACATTCCTTACACAAAACCTGTTTCAAAACCGAACTTTTTTACTTGCGGGCTAGCAAACGCTGAAGCTATCTCATTCCATGACCCATCCATTAAGAAAAGTTTGATTTCATTCTTTTGGGGCATCAGAACTCGATAGTTCCCGAGAGTTCTGCATCGTCTCCCCTGTTTTTGTTTTTGGTTTTGTTTTCAAGGAGAGGGTAGGAATAACACTCCCGGTTCCAGAGCACGGGGTTTAACCAGCCTTTCCCTTAAAAAGTCAGAGGGGTATGGGAAAGGCGTCCTCTCGCCAGCAACAGGTAGGGGAATGAGAAGCAGTTTATTTCCATCATTCCCAGAACATCCACTCGGATCAGCCCGGGGGGCCGGGGGAGAGAAATCATCTGCACACACCCAACCTCGCGGGCCGATCAGTCAACCAGGGCAGCCGCCCGCCCGCAGCTGCCGCAGAGGCCAGCGGACGAGGCTCGGCCCCTCGCCGGCTCTCAGGCCCAGGGAGGCCCTTCCCCAGGGAGGTGCGACATTCCAGCCCCGGGGCCCCGACACTGTCCTCGTCCCCCACCCCCAATCCAGAGGAAACGCTGAGAAAGCATCCTGGGCCAGGCCGGCCTGTATCCGCCCAGGCGGCCTGCCCCCTCTCCCTAACGCCGTCACACAACCCCGAACCCACCGGGGCAACGACTCACCCGGCCCCTCCAGGCAGGGGAAGCCCAGGCCGACGGGGGGCGGCGCTTCCCCCGAGAGCGAGGAAGCGCGGCAGCTGAAGCAGGTCTCCAGCTCCCGGACCCTCCTCCTTCAGCCAGAGGGGGCGAAAACTAGAGCTCCTCCGGCGTCGGTGAAGCTGCTCCGCTGCTCCGCTCCTCGGCGCCTGTGAAACTTTACTGGGTTCCCGAGAGAAAAGCAGCCGCCACCGCTGTCCAGTCCAAAGACAGCCGTCAGCGACCCGGATGGAGCGGGAGGGGAAGGACAGGAGGCAAGCAAGGCAGAGAGCGCTAGGGGTGGGGAGATTTGGGGAGAGACTGGGGAGAAGGGAGAGGGGGAGGTGGTAACGCGGGGGAGGGGGAGGGGCCGGCCGGAAGTGAGCCTCAGAGCACGCGCGCGAGCCCGCCCACTTCCCGGCCCGCGCGCCTGCGCTGGAATCTTCCCAGGGCACATCAACCCGGGCGCCTGCGCACTGTGCTGCTTTGCGTTTCCTTAAGAGGAAAATGCGAAATACAGAAGTTGTAGTTTGCAAGACGAATGGAGGGGTTTGGTCTGTCTTGTAACAGCGTTTCAGCGTGCACAGGGACCTTTAAGTGAAGAAAATTTATTCGTTTTGGGCTTGTATTTTTGATCATTGGTTCCAGTCTCTTATTTTATTCTACTTCTCTCCAAGGAGAATTTGAAGTAGCAGTCAAAACGTCATAAATATAGATATTAAACGTGGGTGAAATCTTTAATTTTATCCCTTAGCCTCAACTAATCAGAGGTTGACAGATACATTCACGGCAATGACGGAGGCTAATGGCATTAAATGTCAAAACCACCAATTCAGGCTCCTGATGAAATGATGGCTGCCATCACTTTGTGCACTCTCCCTGGAAGAGAAACTTAAAATGTAGGGCCTCCTTCACTGAGAGAAAATTAAGTAATATGTATGGCTAGAGTGCCAGATTCACAAAAACCAAACAATTTCCTAGACCAGTCAAGGAGGAAAACTTCAAACAAGGCACTCCTGAAATTTTACCTTAGACTTTTCTTGTACCTTGACTTCAGAGTGAATGCTGAGGACCTAGAAAGAATTCCACAATGAACCATGTTTATCTCAATGAAAAATGTATCTCAGATTAAGAACTGTCTGTGCTAGAATATGTTTAAGAATGTGTGTGTTAGTTTCTTAGGGCTGACATAACAATTTACCACAAATTGGGTGGCTTGGACCAATAGAACTTTATTGTCTCACAGTTACGGAGGCAAGAAGTCTGCAATCAAAGTGGCAATAGTTATTGGTTTCCTTTTGGGGCCTCAGACAGAGAATCTTTTCCTTACTTCTCTCCTAGCTTCTGGTGGTTGCTGACAATCCTTGGCATTCTTTGACTTACAGACATACCACTCTAATCCCCACCTCCATCTTACATGGTGTTCTTTCCTGTGTCTCTGTGTCCAAATTTTCCTCTTATATAAGGACACCAGTCATTGGATTAAGACCCATCCTAATCCATTGTGAACTCTTTTTAACTGGGTTGCATCTGCACCCTATTTCCAGATAAGGTCACATTCTCAGATACTGGAGGTTAGATCTGGGCAACCCAATTCAACCTACATCCTTATTTCTGAATGTTACGGAAATAAGTGTAAAAATGACAAGATACTTAAACAAAGCAAGCATAATTTAAATATTGGAGTGGTGGTAATGCCCATGAAATATACTTTAGTCTTATTTTGATGGCTTCATTGCCCTTGTAGGACTTTAGTTGTCTTTTAACTTTAAGGACTTGATGTCTCAGAATATATCATTAAAGGGGAAGTTATGGGATTTGAGATCTTTAAGACAGGTACTTGATGCTACAACAAACACTAAAATGTGAGTGTTAACAAAATAAGAGTGTATTTTACCTTTTTAACATTCCAAGCGGGTGTTTCTAATCAGTGAAAACTTATTTCCGGGAACTTGGGGAGATGAGGGCATTAGGAGCTTCTTAAATCTTTTGTCTGGGAGGTGCCACATATTACTTCTGCACATATAACAGAAGCAAGAACTATACACCTAGATACAAGGAAACTGGGAAACATAACCCCTGGGTTTCCAGGTAATATTTTATGCCATGGAAGAGAGAGCATGAATTGTTCGGACACCTATCTCAGCCACATGGATATATCTCTCTCTAGAATATTTTAAAATATAGGTCTTGCTTGTAGAAACTGAAATAGATGTTTCTTTTAACCATATAAATGTATGAAACTGTGATGCAGGATCTTAGAAAATAGCCAATGATTACCTTTAAAGTGAGACAAACATAGGATCAGAAGGTTATTAGGATAATGTGAATTCGTTGTATAAAAGCAGCATGAGGTATTGATGATGATTATGATGTCCGACGATGGTTTGTCTAGATTCAGAGCCTGAACCTATAGCCACTTAGACCTCTGTCCTATCCTCCCAAAGACATCTACAGACATTTACTCATGCTCTGTTTTATAGAAAATTACTTCTCAGTCACAATTTCTATAAATGAGGGAAGTCAATAATCCATAGCTCACTGGGTTGTGAGGATTTGATAAGATAATATGTACAGGGCCTTGAACATGGCCAGTGTTTTGTAAACGTTAGTTTTATTATAACTAATATTATCTCTCCTGAAATGCAAGTAGCAAGAGAACATCTGGGAAAATATTCCATATCACCAATCATGATATAATTTTAATTTACAATAAAAGTAAACTATGTTTTACCTATTGTGTTATTTTCATTTACAAAAAAAACTAATGCTCAGACTGTACCACTAAAATAGGTTTTTTATTCCGTCCCACTCTTCCTCTTGCTACCTCCCATCCAGCCATACTACTTGTACTGTACCCCACCTCACTTCCTTCATTTCAGTCTCTGCTCATGTCACCTCTCCAGTCTTCCCTGACCACCCTACACAAAAAAAGTACCCCCTCACTCTCTATAATCTTATCCTGTTTATTTTCTTTCGTATCTATTATCACTACCTGATATTTATTGTATAATACCTAAATGTACAATATTTATTATATTACATGTCATATATAGATACATTCAAAATAATCAATTACAACCTATAAATATATACATAGATATATAAATGTTTGTCTCTTTCACTAGAATGAAAACTCCATAAAGGCAGGGATTTTGTCTGTTTTGCCCAGTGCTCTATTCCCTAATACCTTGAACAGTCCTGCCTGGCCTACAGTATGTTCTCAAAAATTATTTATTGAATTAAATGATGGTGCTGGCAACAATGTAAATTATCACAACCTTCTTATAAACAAATTTGGCAATATGTTTCAAGAGTCAGTAAATTTCACTTAACAATAGTTTGTAATAATAGCAGTATTTATTGTAGGACATTCCACTAAACTACCTACATTATATCACTTCTGGACTCTGTTCTATGGAAATAAAAGATGCATTCAACAAATCTTTATTGAGTACCTACTATGTGCCACTCTCCCAATTCTAGCAGGCAAGAGAGAGAAATACAAAGAGGTAGGCAAATAAAAGTGCGAACAAGGATGTTTACTGCTATGTTATTTCTAATAGCAAAAATTTTAAACAACGTAAGTTCCAACAATGGGGAAATGGCACGTATGGAAGGTGATCCTTTTACTGTTAACTTTGAAAGGACAGGATGGTACTGTCCAAAAGAGGTCATCACTTATTGCCAGCAAATTGTGGACTGCACCTTGAGCTGACAACAGGAAAAGCCTCCTGTAGTCATTTTACACATTCCTGCTTTCCAAGGTTAGAGCCTTCAATCAAGCAGTTGCCTGCACATTTTTTTCTTCAGTCCCTCAATGAGTCTCTCCATCTGGAGAGTTCTGCTTTTTTAATCCCCTGTCTATGGGCCCCATGGACATCCCTTCTCCTTGGTCTTTGACCTAGCATTATGGCTTCAGCCTGGAATATACACAAGGCAGTCCGATCTTTTACAAGATTTTTCAACAAATTTTTACTGAACACCTACTCTGTGCTGCCTTCCCAGTTCTAGTAGTAGAAATAGGAAGGGGGAAAAAAGAGGCAGGCAAATAAAAGTCTTTCAAATTGTAATAAATACTAGGAAACAAGCAAGGGATAGAGATGGAGAATAGCAGTAAGTCCTTGAAATAGAATGGACAATGAAGGCCTCAATGGAGCAGTTGTTATTAAAACTAAAAACAAAGAGAAGGGTCAAGCCCTGTGAAGACAGTGATGAGAAAACATTCTAGGTGGAGGGAGAAAAGCAAAGCCCTTGAGGCAGGAAGAAATGGCATTTTCCAGGAACTGACAGAAAATTAGTGTGGATGGAGCACAGGGGTACAAGATATGTTTGGTGATAGGCAATCAGAGTCTAGATCAAGAAGGGCACATTAAGGAATTTTATTCTAAATATTGCTCAGGGTTTTTAAGCCAGGAGAGGAGGGCAACGATTTTATTTGTTAAGAAAAAGATTCCTTTTGCTGCTGAACTGAACAGGATTGCTGAATTAGGGGAGGGTGAAAATGGACAAAGTTAGATTATTTAGGATTTTGATGTAATCCAAATGGGAGATAATAGTGGTGGGGACTCAGGTGGTTGTGATGGAGATAAAATGAAGAAGGTACATTCAAAACACACTTTGGTAATAGGATTAACAGAGTTGTGATGGAAGGTTTGTAGGGGATTAGAGAATGGGAGGGGTTCTGGGCCACAGGTAGTTTTCTGACATGAGGACGCTTAACAAGATGAGTTTGGCTGGTGAGGGAAGAAGGAGGGCAGGTTTTGACTAGGAAGAATCAAGTGGTCTGTTTGACCTTATGTTTGAAAAACCAAGAGTATGTTTCTGTATTAGTTGGCAGGGCTGCCACAACAAAATACCACAGAGTGGTTGGCTTAAACAACAGAAATTAATTTTTCTCACAGTTCTGGAGGCTAGAAGTCAGACATCAAGGTGTTGGCAGGTTTGGTTTCTTCTGAGGCCTCTCTCTGTGACTTACAGATGGCTACCTTTTCCCTCTTTTCCCTGGGTGTTCACATGGTCATTCCTCCCTCTCTGTGTTCTCTCTGCCCTAGTCTCCTCCTCTTGTGGAGACACCAGGTGTAGTGGGTTAGGGACTGCTCATTTTACCCTAGTTACCTCTTTAAAGCCCTATCTCTGAATACAGTCATATTCTGAGTTATTGAAGGTTAGGACTTCAGCATATGAATCTGAGGGGGACACAATTCAGCCCATAAAGATTTTTTCTCCCTTTTGAATTGCATTATAAAAAGCCCTTTTTCTGTTGTTCTAGCGGGTACAGACCTAGTCCCAAGGTGAAAGAGACAGGGGAAAGAACTCTCTTCTGCCATATAAATGAGAAAGCACAGAAGGAATTTTGCCCTTCTTCTTAATAGCTGCAAGCAAAACAATTTTATTAATAATATTATGTTATGATATATGCTACATAATCAACAACATAAATAATAATCTGGATATTTATTATAGAATTCTTCTCAACTTTCATTCTCACATTTATACTAATCTCCTTTCCTGCTCTAAATTTACATTCTGACTCCAATTTTCTTCTCAGTGTCCCAGTGTGAAACAGTAGTAATGATCATATTATGAATACCTGAAACATTTTTAAAATGCTCTCTTTTCATAACTCTCTATAATTTCTTTGTGTTTGTTTTACGTCCCCTATTTATAGAAATTCAGCTGGCATTCAAACAGGCATTAAGCCTGAAAAAATTTACATGTAATGTGGCTGTTGACCAGTATGTGGGGATGTGTTCATGCCTTTGAAATTACAGCGTGATCACTCCAGTTACTAAACAGAGAAAGAGCTCAAAAAGCCTGTCTTTTGGGGGGGGGGAGGCGGTAAGGTTTTTTGTGGCAGTTAAGAATAAAAATTGTTTTAAAATACAAAGTCTTAACTATATGATAAACTATGCTTTAGAATTAATTTTACTCCACAGCAACTGTAAGATGAGAATTCTGCGAGTTCTAATTAATAATGAGCATCAGCAAAGAGAATAGTATGAAGTGTGGGACCTCGACTTATATGACTCTTTAAAGTCTATGTGTTTTTCTTTAAAGAAGAAAATTAAGATAGCAATAAAGAGGAGGAATCTCAACTATTAGGGCTTAACAGTCAAACTTTTGGGTAGCAAACTGAACTATTTTGTTACTACTGTTTTCAAAGGGTCTTATAAAGATATTTGAGGTTGGAAAGTTCTAATTTAGCTGTCAGAAATAAGAAATCTGGAAAGTTTCCTTTATTTTGTTCCTTGTGCCCAGTCCCATACCAAAGTAAATTAGCAAAATTACCTACATCAAATCAAAGGGTGATACTGTATGCACATGTACACACAAACACACATGTATCCACACACATACATATACACATATACATGGCATGCCTCACTGCCCTCAGATAGGATCAGGACTAAAACTAATTTTAACTACAGGTTTTAGTCAAATAAACAGTACTACTTCTTTGAATAGAAATTAACTGCAGCATGATTATCTTCATCTATTGAATCGTTTATTAATAACTTTCAGAGTAATAGTATAAAAGAAACAGACTTGCCATGTATCTTATTCAATCACCATTTTTATAAGGGAAATTGACAACACATTTCAGATTCTTAAGTAAGTATTAAAAATCCTATGAAAGCAGCACAGAAGCCACACATGTAAGGAGACAGGAAAGCTTTTTAAACTTCCTTCCCACTTCCCTCACCCCCCAGAATGCCTTATGTACTCTAGAACCAGCTGTTGGTTGCCTTCAGCATACACATAACTTTTATACTCACTGACTAAAAATTGTAAAAAAATGTGTACTGCTACTCATACTTCTTTTGGAAAAATGAAATAAATTGCCATAATAGCTGGCATTTAGAAATAAACAAAACACAAACATTTTTATGGACAGATTTTCATTAGAGTTTGAAAATACATTTTATAGTCTCAGTGTCAGATCTGATAGCCTGAAAGAACAGTTGAGCATTAGTGACTAGAAAGGACAGAGTGTTCCTAGAAGACAAATTATAGTTGCCACCTCCACATTGCCTAAATACAGTTTAACCATATTAAAATGACAGAAATGTTTGCCCAAGGAAAATGCCATGCAGTCCAAGCTGCTGTTTTACTTTTTTTAAAAAGGAGAAAAATTACTCTTTGTAAACATAGGGATATGAAGAGGTGAATTGAAGGCTTGTGCGCTGTTCACTTTCAACAACAAACTTCATCTGTTCAATCTTTAAAAGGAAGTATTACCCAGCAAGCTAACTTCCAAAGAACAGCTTTCACACTGCTCCCAGCTGCAAGCTCTGAGAGTGTTGACAATAAAATAGAAATCCCATGGAATGGTGAATGTTAGAATTGTTCTTAGTGTGGAAAACATTTTTTTAAAGTACTACATCATCAGAGAATATAATTATACACTGAATTAATCTGTAGTAGGGGTGAAACACCTTATCACCCTTCTCTTAGCTGCAAATAGACTGGATAAGATGGTTTCTTTTACTTAAAGTAAAACTCTTTGGTTTAAAATGAAATTTGTTCAGTATGGGAAATTCTCATTTTAAGAAATTTAAATAGATTCTATTTTAAAACATTAGTAATTATTGTTAATAATTTAAATAATTCAGTAAAATATAAAGAAGAAAATGACAGAAATACCACCACAGGAGATACACACTGATAACATTAACTGAACATCACTCTGATATCTTTCCATACTCTAAAGTATGTTATACAGACATAGAAATCAATGTAAGTTTATGCAGTGGATCTTGGAGAATTCTAAAGTTTTTACTCAACAAGGTGCTAAAGATCTCTTTCTAAGTATTGGGGAGCTTAGTTATGTTCATGTAGAAGACATGCCCAGACCATGAACTTACAGGGCCAGTTATCTACACATATAAAGAAAGAATGGATATGTTCAGTCTTATTCTGTTCAAGTTGAATAAAAATATTTTTTCCAGCATTATTGAGATATCATTGACATATAACAGTGTATAAGTTTAAGATGTACAATGTCATTATTTGATACACATATACATTGCGAAATGATTACCACATACATTAACATCTCCATCACCTCAAAAAATCCTATTAAGTTGAATGTATTCAGATGTGTCTTGTTACATTGATTGTCATCATCTGCTTTGACTGACTGCCTAGAATGGCTTTTCCAGGTTCTTCAACCCCTCTGGCTCCATAAAATAGCAAAATGCTCGGGGGGAAATATAAAGGAGAGCCTTCAGTTGCTTCCTAGCCTATTCATTTTGTCTATTGCACTTGTATGTTTATATCCTTCAAGTTACTAAGCAATTTGTTTGATTATGTCTGTAATATATATGATAACATAATTTCTTTGCTTTGTAGCTGTAATTATTTAAACCATTCCTCCCTCCTACCACTACCTAAGTTCCAACTATCATCAAATCCAGCTTGAACTTCTGCCACAGCCTGTGGACTACCTGTAGTCTTGGCTGTTTGGTTCATCCACACAGCCACTGGGGTGATCTTTTTAAAATGCAGTTTTGATCACATCTTCTTAAAATCTTTATTATCTAGGCACTCAGCATCCTACATAATCAAGTCTATCCTCCTCTGCAACCTTATCCTTGCCAGATTCTTTATTTTATGAGCTATGAAGTATGCTCCTTCACATCTTCTTACATTTTCATGTTGTTCCTTCAACCTTCTGAAGTTACAATCTTTCAAGACTCAGCTCAGGCAGTACTTCCTTTATGAAGACTTGCCCTGTCTGTGACAGTTGGGAGACTCCCTCCTCTCTGGTGCCATCCGCTGTTGTAGAGCTTGCCACATTGCAACATAATCAATTGCCTGTCTTCTCCCTCACTAGACTGTTAGCTCAAGGTCAGCAACATGGATATTTTCACCCCTGTAGCCCTAAGAATGAATGAATACAAATTGTTTCGTATTAGCAATTCTAGTTGGCAAAATTTTTATCTTTGAATAATAAAATATGAGAAATAAATTGTTAGAAAATGTTATTTATTGTAAAAAGTTGTTCAAAACAATGTCTCTAGGGAAAAAAGACAAGAAGCTCTCAGTGGAAAAGACTGAATATGTATGTAATAAACATATATTAAGTATTTGTCAGTTGAGCAACTGTTCCTTGTTTAGGTTATAATTTTCTAAGGGAGGGACCTGTATTTTTTTTTATTCCCTCCAGTGCCTAGCAGAGTACTACGTCCATAGAATAATCTCAAGTCCATTTTTACTGATTAACTGAATGAGTGAATCCATTCATTATATCAAAACAAAATCTCAGGAATTCATAAGCCCTATCTCTTTGAATCTCTATGTATATTGAAATATCTTGTGAACTTTCTGAGGGCAGGGGATCTATTTTATTGATTTGTTATTCCCACATCTTAACAGAGAGTACAGAACACAGTGAAAGTTTGGTAAATCTTTTATCAAGGTTATATCAGTCAAATACACATCTGCTTTGCTCATCACTGTAACATAGTATCCACAGAGGAAAGCTAGTGAATATTTGTTAGATAAACATGATTTGAAATCTGGCTACTGGAAAGTACAACTAAAATCTAAAGTTTCCCGAATTTAGGAATAAATTCAGATTGAACGTAATTCTGAAAGATACTTTATTTTCACTATGAAATAGTTCAACCTCACAGAGGTAAGGATGGGTAGGAGAAGGGAGAGAAGCTATAAACAAATAAATGAGGTTCATAGGAGAAAATAGCTCCTCTGAGGGGAGCCACATGCTCTGATACCCATGGCAGCCCAGCCACATGAGGAAGCAGCCTAAAATTAGCAGGATGGGCAAGCCCAGGAAGGGAAAGCCACAGCAGCTTTCCCGGCACTCAACAAGTGAGGTGAAGGGCCAGGAGCCCCGGTGGAACCCTCCTGTGGAGAAACACTGCAGTTTGTGCCAGGTAAGGCCCTCCCTAGTAACTCACCTTGGGAGATTTCTTAAGGGGATATCCAGACAATGGAAAGATTTAATATTGCCCAGGAAAGAGGTGCCTCTAGGAATCTAAGGATTAAGAGAGCAATGAAAGTATTCTTGTATCCAGCCTCACCCAGATACTCATGTGAACCACTGCTTTCCACCTTGTTGAACTGGGGCTCTCTGGGGTGTGTAGGTGTTGGTTCTTTTCCCCCCAAGTGTTGGAGTAAAGGGAGGAGGCCGTCCTAGAAAATTTGTAAAACCATGTGGAATAGGAATGAGGAAAGTGAAATAAAAAATAAATGAGATTCTGCAGAGCCAAAAAGGAAAGATGAGAGATAACACAAATAGGACTCGGTGGGCAACAGTGTGCTTTGTTCATGAGTGAAGCACAGAGTGGTTGAGCTGCTTGAGGACAGACAACAGAATCTTGGAGGGGGCCAGGATTTTCTCAGTGTGTTACTGTTTCATAAAGAACTAGACCAGTGATCTATTTTATGATGCACATGAGTTATTCCCAGTTGGGGTATTTATCTATCACTCACCATGATTTCTATAAGTTTCTATCTTCTATGCTAGAATTCATTTTTATATGATTTTTTTAAGTTATAGCTCATTAATGACAAAACACCCCTGTGAGGGTGTCTCACAGGATCAATCTGAAGGGATTGTGCAATGAGACAGCAGAAATTCAGAACTTTTTAAAACTTACAGCTGTATTGAGATATAATTCAAACACCGCACAATTCAACCAACTATTTAAAGTATACAATTCAGTGGTTTTGCAACTTTTGCCACAATCAATTTTTAATATTTCATCCCCCTCCTCCCCCAAATTTCCAAATTCAGTAGTAGTCACTCCTCTTTCCCTCCAACAATCCCCTCACTTACAACCCTAGGCAACCACAAATCTACTATCTGTTTCTACAGATTTGCCTATTCTGGACATTTCATATTAATGGAATGATACACTATGTGATCTTTTGTGAATTTTTTTTGCAGGGGGTGGGGGATGCGTAATGTGTAGCAAGGGAGAAGAGAACCTCTTCTGTTGGGAGTACTAACTGATGATTCGTCCTAAAGGGAAATTGTCATTGCGTCTAGTTTCCATTCGGAGTGAGTACTTATAACTTATTATTCTAAGATCATTCAATTACAGTGACAATTCAGTGCTACATCTAATTATATGATTAATAAATGCTTTTCAGTAACAACAATTTTTACTTAATGATAATCTTGGATATGGCCTGATAGAATGAAGTGCACTCATTTAGGATAATATTAGAGAACTTATATAGTACATATCCTAAGGATTTAGAAAATAATTAATGAAGTAAGATGTAGCGTATCTAGAACAGTGCCTGGCAGGTATTAGATTTTTAGTAAATAGCTGTATTTTCCTCCAATGTTAAACATTTGCTCCCAGTGTTCAACATTTACTCATATTATAAAACACAGAGTAGATCTGAAGAAAACCTTAACCTAGCAGAGTGCTTTGAACATACTAGTTACTCAATAAATGCATTTCAAAACAGGAAAGAGATATAGTCATGGATGTGTGCGTTTTACAGCTGTGATATTATTTTATAAAGGCTATGGAAAATAGTTTCATATGCTGGACAAGGAGGCACCAATTATAATTTCAAGTTGGAGGAAAGAGAGTTTGAGCTGATATCAGCCACAATCTTGGATAACTGACTTTCTCTGGTCTTCAATTATCTACAACTCCAAGATAAGAATGATAGGCTGGATCATAGCTAAAATGTCATCCCTATTGTTCATATTGTTGAAATATCATATGGCAAGGTCTCCGAGATACACCTACCTTGTATTTATTTCATGCTAAAGGTTTGCACATTGAATTACAGGATTGCTTCTTAGGGAAGTCCATTTGGCTTACTGTCATAAAACTTGCAGCTTGTAATTACCTTGATGAAATCACCAGTTTTCATCGTCTGGGCCTCAACTATCCAAGCTCAGAAACCCAACTTGTTTTTCAAAAATTCTTACAATGATGCAATTCTTTAGCAACGTATTTTACATTAACCAAACTTCTGAAAGAGTAATGGACATCCACAGTTCCAATTTGTTAATTTACAATGAGAAAGATGGCTTTAGTGCAAACCAAATGTCATATTGTCCTATAAATTTTTTTTCTATAAAGAAGTCTATTAAAAAAAAACTCAATGGAAATCAGAATGCTACTGCATGAGCATGAATTGGAACATGGTAAATAATCAGTCATGGCATCTGGCAATGTTGGCCTGGGGCTGCCAGCACCACGATCAGGAGCAGATAGGGCCCTCTTGGATCAACACTGCTTGATTCTTCTCTAATTTCCCTTTCTTACTTGTCATTCTGATTACCTCTTCAGGTATAGCTATAGATCTCAATATAGATACAGACACACATATGTATATTTATATACATGCATATATTTGATAATAGGTAGGTAGGTGGATAAATAGATGATAGCTAGATACCATCAGTTAGGCTACAGCCAAATTTTGCTCCCTTTTTTTCTACTGGTGTCCTTGAAGATTTTTTTTTCTGCTATGGGGGCAACTTTTATTATTCTTTCTCTTTATAAATATAATACACACTTATTAGAAGTTATTTAAAAGTCCAACTAAGAACAAATATGAGAGAAAAATATCCCAGAGTTCCACAACCTAGTTATAACCATTAACAATTTAGAATATTGTACTCCAGAATTTTAAAAACTAGAACAGGGTCATATTATAAATACTGTTTTGAAGACTGTTTAAAAAAAATCTTTTCATGTTTAAAAAAAGTATGTTTCTAATTTTTTGCTATTACAAAATTCTTTACAAGCATCCTTATAAATACACCAGAATGATGGTTGTCCTTCTCTTAAGGTGCCTAAATTTACACACATTAGTCACTGTATGTTGACTTTCCATTTTAATTTTCAGTGTGTTAGAGGTGCTCTGCTGATGCCTTCGTGTTTACTATAGTATGAAATTCTTTCCTATTAATATGTCACTTTTCAAGGCTTTTTGTTTTATATATCACATTTAGATTTTTAAATACTTTTTATATATTTTTTACTCATTGTAATCTCGAAAGTAAACAAAACAAACATTTTCCACACTTTTCAGTAACTGAAAAAATGAGCTGAAGCATATAGAATGATTTGCTCAAGGTCATCCAGCTAGTGAGAGAGAGAGCTGCAATTAGAACCTGCTTTTTTTCCCTTAAATCAGTGATTTCCAACTAGTGAGCAAGACCCTGGTGGGCCATGAAGCAGTTGTAAAGTATCCAGGTGTACATCAAGCCTTGTCTGAAAACAGAATAAACATCTTATTATTGGATAGTATTATATTAATAAAACGTAAATTTGTTGGAAGTAAGTGTCAAATTTATGGTTGCTTTTTTTCATTATGTATTTTATAAATCAATTGATAAAAAATTATATTTATAATCACTTGGGAGATCCACAACATTTTTTAATGTGGATAGGTATACTTGTACTTGAAAAAGTAGGAACCTGTTTTCGGCCTTGCTGAGGTTCACTGTATTTGCTCTCAAGTATTATAAAAATGGCTTAAAACTCTTAACGAAGACATGCTATAAAAATAGGGCCAACAGTATTTTATCACAAATAAAATTCCACTTGTGATATGTAAATTATGCTGTCCTGAAATAATCTTACCAGGTCATGCTCTTTAGAACTTTCAAAGAAAAGGAAAAAAAAATAGGTGGTTGTAACTGTGCAAAGATGTAAGACGTGACAGGATGTAAGACATGAAACGCAGTACACGCGAATAACTCGTGCCATAGTTTGCAGAAGTATCCTAGGCACCGGCAAAGCAGGAGAGCCAATCATAAATCACTGCAGACTGGGGGCCCCTGTCTTCCATCTGAAGTACTAACCACTTCACAACTCTACAGACTGAGAGTACCTAGGACCAGCCTAATGTGGACCCTCAAGGCAGAAACCTTACCGAATCTTACATCAAAGACTAATGAGAAATATACAATGTAAGGAATTTTCCCCTAAGATTTCTTTAAAAACAGAAAACATGTTTAGATGTTCATAATAGGTTACTTGAAACTATAAGTAGTCAAGTTCATACAGACATAAAGTAGAATGGCAGTTGCCAGGGGCTGGAGGTAAAGAGGAATGGGGAGTTACTGCTTAATCAGTACAAAGTTTGAGTTTTGCAAAATGAAAGAATTTCTGGAGATGGAAAGTGGTGTTGGTTGTACAACATGAATGAACTTAGTGCTACAGAACTAAACACATATCACAATTCAAAACAATTTTTAAAAAAAGAATAGGTTATTTGG